AGGAAAACTGAGTAAATAAATGCCCATTTTTTCCATGCTAAATTAAAATGAATTTGAGAAAAAATGTTGTTGGTACCACTATTAGGTATTCAGCATTCATAACTGATGTAGTATAGGAACAAATTATTACCTCCCACTTAGTTTCTTCTTCTGTTTCCTTTTTTTCAACTTTCTTTACATTTTCTTAATGTTTTTTTCTTCCTCAACTAAAATCACCACAAATTAATTTCAAGCAAAAACATTGCTGAAATTGCTCACTAACGACATCGCCAATAATTGTTCATCAAGAAAAAAAAGATATGAAGCAAAGAAAAAAAAACTTGAATAAAAAATCAGATTTTTTGAATCAGAAAAATTATAATTTTTATTTTTTTGCAATAAAAACCTATGATAGACTATGCACATGACAGATAGTTCGCAGTTCTTGATTTACAACAAAGCCTCAAACAGTAAGGCTATCATCAACTAACAGCTCATATAAGAGAAACTTTTGACCGATATTCAACTGACCATTACGAACCACAGTGTAGAACTTTTACAAGAAGAAACCTATGCCATTAGACAGTTGAAAAAAACGGGTAACAAATTCTGTCATTACGGTTTGTGAAGAGGGTGTTGATTAAACTCACCTTTATGCTTTTAATCTTATCAGCAACCGTATCAAAGTACTGGTCGATCCGAGCAAGAACGTTATCTTCAATAGCTACTTTTACACACTCGACACCTTAAAAAATCCACGATTAGTTCCCAGTGAACAGCTAAGCAAATCTTTGTTTTTTGTTCTCAAAAAAAAATCAGTATTCCCTATTCCATAGGCTATTTTTCTAATTAGTCGTATTTCAAACACATTCACCACTTTTTTTTTAATGAAACTCTAATGGAAATCTGATGTTTCCGGGCTGAATGCAGAACAGCGGGTGTAGCGTGTAATAAAAAAAGAGCAGCAGAACGAAAGATAAATAGTAATGCGGTAAGCAAAATTAAAAAGAGTGGCCATTAAGCAATCACAACAAATAGTTTACTTTATTAAAATTTCCTCTACTTAATTAGCACTAAAGATTCTTTTTTAAGAAAGTAAAAGAAGGAAAAACAAACAAAATAGAGACGAAAAATTTATTCTGTAATATTTAAACCACTTAGCAACATATGTGGTTCAACTAACAAGCAAAAACCAAGGCACAAACAAAGTCAAAAATTTTCGTTTCAATATTGAACTAACATGCTTCTGATGCTCATCTAAAATGCTCACTAAACTAGAGGATGCCGTAATTTAGTAAAAAGTGGAAATTGATACTGATGATGAGAACAAAGATACTTTTTTTTTTAAAATAAAGATAGTAGGAATAATTAGACTGAACGTAAAAAAAGCTCTCAGAGAGACGTTGAACTCTGCTTCCCATAGTTAATCCGGTAACCTCAGTGATCATTGATAATACTTCTTCATCGTTTTTTTTTTGGTCCGTAAATTGAATTTGTATAAATCAAATTTTTGAACTTCAGCAACGTGTATCAAAATCAGATGAACCACAGCTATCATCAACATTGTCATCAGTGCTTGCAAAAAAACTTTCCAATCACTGCCGCTACTGTCTTTGTGATTAATTACACGTATAAAACATCAGTTTTTTTCCTACTTTCTTGATTCTCCATTTTTGGTAATCATAAATTAAATTGAATCAAAATGAACAAATGCACATAGACCCATTCTTGAAGCAGTTATGTCAAACATAAAATAAAATTTTTCCCCTCATTTCCTTTCAATTTTATTTTGTTCTTTTATTGCTTTAGTCTTAAAAACAACGAGCATTAAAAGTGAAGAAAAAAAACTGTTCAAAAATTCAGTTAAACTAATTAGAAAGATTTTTTGCTCAGGCATTTAAAGTGTGTAGAAAAAAGAGGCGTTGACAACATCAATACAACATTTATTTTTTTAAATTTATGAATTAAACTTTTTTTACTCCTTCATTTTCTTCCCATCTTTTGTCATCAAATCTTTCTATCTTTTCCAAAACCAAAAACCCAAAAAAAACCATTAAGAAATAGTCAAAAAAGAAACCTATTGCAAAAAAATTAATTATTATTTTACATTTTAAAAATCTGCTAATCTCTGATGCAACTGTTGCTACTGAAAAAAATGCCCTTTTTTCAACCATTTTTTTTCTGATCAACTGGTGCATTAGTTTTTAACTAAGGAAGAAATAAAAGCTATCAAAATCACACTTGTCAGATGGAAAAAAAAAAAAGCAAAGCAAAAGAAAAAAACCAATGTCTGCTAACCTGGAATGTACATATTTGGTTGTTCAATAGTTGCATTAATAATACAGGTGATACGCTTTCGTTTTAATTTATCAGCCGTAACAGCCGGTACACCGGACAAATACAGATAATTGGTAATTTCAGTAATCTGATAGTATGCACTTGGTCGAGGCATTTTTGACCTGCAAAAAAACAACTTAACCATACAGATTTACTTAGTTTTAAGGCGCTTAAACGGATTCTATTGTCTAATCAGTATACATCGCGGTACAACAACGCCAAAAACTGCATTACCTTCCATAGATATACAGCCGGTATACAGTACTGATAACGATGATAAAAAAGTAGAAGACCAAAAATAAAAAATATTTGTAACTGCTCATACACTACCGCAATTTAGATGGCGTAAACTAAGCGTTCCGTTTGAAAATAAAATACAGCAGTATGTGTAGGAACCAATTTTTATATAAATTGTAAAAGCAAACAAGAAATCATAAACTTTTTTTTTGCTCATCGTTTTGTTGCTGTTAGTCGTTCGTTATAACTGTCTAATTACCACCAATTTTCCTCCTCTACCCCCCCCCCCCAACCCTTTCCATCCCTTCTTCCAACCTTTTCTGTAGCTCACCCTCCTCCTTCGCTTTTTAACAATTCCTTTTCCCTACCCTTTTCATTAACCCTTGGTCTTTCAAAGCCTTACATTTTCACAGTCTCCTCTTCCATTCTGTATTTTACCACTGACAACAACCTCGACGAAGGCAGACAACAATTAATGCTAAAAACGATGCATTACCAATAACAAACAACAAAACTACGAAAAAAATCTGTAATTTAACTTGTACTAAAAAACAGCGGTAAATCAGCGTTGATGGAATATATGTGAAAGTAATGTCGTTCAACTTTTTTTTTTTTTTATTTAATTGCTTTATTTTCTATAACCATCGAAAAAACATAAGACTCCAGAAAGGAAGCAGAAAAAAAAATTTACCAAAATACTGTTTTATCAGAAAAATTTTCCAACTGTATCGTTACACGTAAAAACAAACAAACACACAGACGTATACAAAAAAAAAAAAAAAAAAAAAAATGAAGCGGAAACGAACATTATTCAGTGATGATTTTCTTCTTCGTTCTTTTTTTTTCAATTTTTTTTTTTAGTGAAAGATGGGAAAAAGCAAAGAGAAGAAAAAGAAGAAGAATGAAAACACATACCAAAAAAAATTGATCACCATTTAAAAAAATTTAAAAAAATATTTTTATTTCTCGTTTTTCCTCCAAATCAATAAAAAGAAAAAAAAGGTGCTAAAAAATGGGAAAATATGCAGGAATAAAAACTAATTGCATTTTAACAATTTTCTTTTCCACGATTCCAAACTGTTTTCTAATGAATAATGCAGTTAGCTACTCAAACAGAAAAAAAAAAACGGTACAGATTTGATACTTCTTTAAAACAGTACCCATCCGACGATACTGTATACAGCAGACAATTTAAGAACTAAATGCAGTAACACCGTCTTCTGCATAATGTTTTTCACTTAATAGCTCCTAAAAAAAAAAGTTAGGACCTAGTTTGTACTCAAAAAAGAAAAAAAAAACACATTGACATAATCATCCTCATCAACAACAACGACAACAAACGTTTGTGCGTAACGATGACGGCAATAAATGAAACAGCAGTAAAAGTGAAGAATAAATGAATAAGTAAATAAATAAATAAATAAATAAATAAATAAATAAATAAAAAATTGCTTTTTTTCTCTTCTGCTTTCAGCTTTTTTAACATTATAAACTGCTGTAAAAAAATCTTTTTTTCCTCTGGAATTTTTATTACTAAAAAATTTTCAGTGGTTATTTGTAACAATTGACAACAAATGTTATTATATGTTTCTAACCATTACAAGCTGCAGCTTAGCCCCAAAGAAAAATTTGAAACATAAGTACAAACATACATATCCGATGTAATTGTTTCCTTTCCCTTTCTTTGTTCCAATTGTTCAGTCTCTTTTACCGCTGCTCTCTAATCAAAAAAAAAAAAAAAAAA